GCTAGCCATACTTGTGAGGCAGGAGGGACCAAGAGCAGGGCCTCCCAAGCTGGTTTGTAGGGGAAGATATGTTCGGACAGGTAGCCTGTGCTGGAACCATTTAGGGCTTTATAGGCTAAAGCCAGCACTTTGAATTCTGCTTGGTAGCAGACTGGAAGTGCCGCTCTGGTGAGCAACCTAGCTGGAGTTGAAGTTCAAAACACCTGAAGGGCTGAAGATTGCCCATGCCTTGTCTGATCCCAGTCAAAGAGAAATGCTGGATATAATTATGCTTTAGTTTCTATAGGTCCAGGGACAAATTTTTGAACCTGTGTTTACAATTTCAAGTTGAAGCATGCTTTTATACTTTTTAGTATATGGCTGTGGTGCTCACTCCCCTGTTCCCCATTATCAATACAGCGTAGTTATTTAAATATAATTATTGCCACTTTTGCTAATGGAATATAAAATAAATAACATTTAAAATCAATATGAATAAAGGTTACATTCTGTAAGCCTAGATCTGCCCCAGACTAACACTGGAAATTCTGTTTTCTAGGAAGCAAGGTGATATTGACCAGCTCTATGTTAAAAATCAGCATTCCATTGATTGCAGAGGTACCATAATAATTTTGATACAGCCGCCAGTTTATAAATGAATGAGACCCAAACCTAATTCATTTATACACTATTGTTTTTCTATATTTGATAATCTATAGCATTTTTTTAAAAAAAAATGCTATAGATTTTCTTTTAAAACATTTTCAAATGAAAGAGATACATATATTATGAAGCATAGCATCCTATCCTGCTGGAGGGAATATTTTATAATATTAGAAAGTATCTCATAAATGTGTTATTCATAACTTGAGTTAATTCCCTGAACAGAGAATAATGAGTCTTCTTGTAATTAAAAACTGTGCTACTTACACATTCGTAAGATTGGTTCCTTTACACAATAATCCTTAACTGTGCAATCTGAGCAATGCCTACTCAGAAGTAAGTCCCTCAAAATTCAAGGATTATTCACAATTTAAGCATACAAAGTCTCTGAACTTCAGTTAACAAAGACAACCAAAGCAGTAAAGTACAAAGAAGTGCACTGAGGGTTATAGTCTTAAGGCATATAAAACTTAAACTAGAATAATAAATATCAGAACAGATTTTTGCACTGCACATTAAATTAATACAAACAACATTTCTCTTGTTCTCTTAGCTTTAAAAATGGAATTTTAGGTATCAGTTAATGTTTTCCATGCCTTACATCTATGCTACCTAGCAATCTTTTGTTCTTAAAAAATTGCCTTCAAAAATACCAATTGCTTCCTAAAGTCATAAACAGAAGAATGAGCTAGAATGTAGCAACTCTGGTTCACATTACGTGGACAATTCTGATGCTTTAAAAAAAAAAAGCAAAACAAGTATCAATAAGCTCCAAATTAAGAGTTGAATTGGACAAACAAGTATGAATTAGTTTGTCAGGAAAATCCAGCAATGTTTGTTTCCATGACTAACTGCATTTAAAAGCTCAAAATATCTTTATCATGACAGTGTGAGGCCTTTCCTTTGGTTAACAGTTTTTAGATTTTTTTTATTAAGTTTAAAAAATAGCTTGCTTCCCCAGCTAAAGGAAAAGTAATTGCAAAATATATGTCTTCATGTATCTAATAACCAGTGCTGTCCATCTGGCAAAGATACATGTAAATCTAAGTTCCACAGAGAGGAAAAAAGACAAAGTACTTACCATATGTCTCAGTAATGTTAAGGTAAAAAAAAAAGTCTGGGAACACATGCAAAATATGTATTTGCCCAACAAAATCATCTGTTAACCATTGTCCTGGCACTGTTCATGTCTTTTCTTCAAGTCCAGACTAAATCAGGGCTATAAAGTTTGGCTTTTCATCCTTCAGAATTACCAGCTTTCTTTCAGAAAAGAGGAAAAAAGAAAGACAGAAAGAAGCACAAACACACAGACAAAGGATCTGAACTCTTCAAAGCAAAATTGTCTTTGACACATGGCGTCCAAGTGACATATTACCTTAATTATAATGGCTTTATTTTTACATGCAAATGGATTTACCAAAGGAATAGACAATTATATTTTTCTTCTCAACAGGAACTCTGCCTTGTTTGTTTATCTGAGTGATCTTTTATCAGCACAGCAGTTTTATAATTCAAGGCAGCCTTTCTCTGTAAGTTTCTGAAATGTGAATGGCAGGTACAGATGCAGCTGTGTAAAATTACCACAATGGAACTTGAATTAAAGCATTGAGTTTGAAAAGGATTTTCCCCTGCCCCCACTCCACAAAACTGAGAAATTAAGACTGCGGTTCTATAGCTTCTAACTGTGGAGTAATTCCCATTGAGCTCAGTGGAACTTACATCTCAGGAAACGTGGATAGAATTGCACTGCTACCAAGCAACATACATCACTTTCATTTCTTTGCCTTTTACAAGTTTCTTTCTCCTTGTTTTATCTAAACTCAGAATCGAAATATTCAACATAGACAATGTGAAAATTTTCATTTAGCTTCACAATGTGCTTATCACTTGAATTTTGAGCAATGTTTGTATAGATAAAGATGCACATTGCCAGCCACACATTATGTTTCCCTTATCCAACTCACACACCCCACACCCTTTTCTGTTTTGTGTAAGTTGAGCAAGCAGTTAAACAACTCCATTTGAAATGTAGGGATATCAATACACAAGTGGGTTGTAGAGAAGTATTAGACAGGAAAGTAAAAGGTGGCCATTACCATGCCACCAAAAGCCTTGAGAGCAAACCCATTGGCGCACGTCATACATGGTCACTCTTGCAAATGGTTTCCCTTTCTCTGGGCTTGTGCAAGGAAGAGGAAGGCAGTGAGATATTTATTTATTTATATACTATATTTGTGTACCGCCCCTCTCTCAGTCCGGAGGTGATTCAAGGTGGTTTACAGTTGGCAATCAATGCCCCGCAAATAAAATACAATCAAAAACATTACATATAATATAAACCATATAAGAGCAATAAGAAAATTAAAAACCATAAAGTACAATTCCTCAGCGTCTCATCATTAAAATCATTTTCCGTCGCATCGTCTAATCATTCCATGAGTCTCAATTAATCAGTTATACTGCGTCTGCAAATGCCTGCTCAAACAGCCAGGTTTTAACTCTCTTTCGAAATATTAGGAGGGAGGAGGCCAATCTAATCATAGAATCATAGAATCATAGAATCAAGAGTTGGAAGAGACCTCATGGGCCATCCAGTCCAACCCCCTGCCAAGAAGCAGGAATATGCATTCAAAGCACCCCTGACAGATGGCCATCCAGCCTCTGTTTAAAAGCTTCCAAAGAAGGAGCCTCCACCACACTCCAGGGCAGAGAGTTCCACTGCTGAACGGCTCTCACAGTCAGGAAGTTCTTCCTCATGTTCAGATGGAATCTCCTTTCTTGTAGTTTGAAGCCATTGTTCCTCCTAGTCTCCAGGGGAGCAGAAAACAAGCTTGCTCCCTCCTCCCTGTGGCTTCCTCTCACATATTTATATATGGCTATTATCCCCTCTCAGCATTCTCTTCTTCAGGCTAAACATGCCCAGCTCCTTAAGCTCCTCATAGGGCTTGTTCTCCAGACCCTTGATCATTTTAGTTGCCCTCCTCTGGACACATTCCAGCTTGTCAATATCTCTCTTCAATTGTGGTGCCCAGAATTGGACACAATATTCCAGGTGTGGTCTAACCAAAGCGGAATAGAGGGGTAGCATTACTTCCCTAATATCCCTAGGGAGGGCGTTCCATAGCAGGGGGCCCACTGCTGAGAAGGCGGTGTCTCTCATTCCGGCCAATCGGATCTGTAAAGAAGGCGGGACCAAGAGCAGGGCCTCTCCAGACGATCTTAAGAGCCCAGATGGTTCATAGGGAGAGACAGAAAGCTACAGACTCTGTGCAGCCAATTTTACATAGCAATTTGTTATGTGGGAGGAAGGAATCCTCAGCCATAATGCTCTGGAAGGTATGGTTTGGATCATTGCTTGTAACATGCTAATTCCCCCCTTTTTTTCCTTGCCAAGCCTGCACTCATACATTTTTTCATCTTCCAGTGCTTCATTAACACATGATATAACCATTGTTTGAGTTATGTGCATAAACAACAGTCTAAAGTGGACTGGACACTTATTTGATTTTTGGTTGTTGTGTTTGTTGAAGTCATTTCTAAATTACATCAATCCTAAAGCAACAGGCTTTTTATGGCAAATTTTATTCAGATGAGTTTAGCTTCCTCTGAGGTTTGGGCAATGGGATTTCTCAAGGTCACCAATAGATTTCCATGTTTGTGTGAAGCTCCAAACTTTAGTTCAACATTCAAACCATTACATCATGCTGGCTCTTCTTTATCTTGTATTACTAGTCTAATCAGTTCCTCCTCTACTTCTAGTTCAAAAGTTCTCATGTTTATGGAGTTATAGTCAAACTACAAGTTAATTTATACACACAAGTGTTGCACCTGCAGACTTCAAGTTTGTAAATGTCCATAAAAATCTTTAAGGAATAAATGGCGGTTGGGGGTGAAAAATTTCCATAAGGACTTTATTGTATGGAATGTTAATTTACTGAGCAGAAACAAAATGACAACTTGGAAGGGGGGAAATGGAACAGCGTAGTTGGAAAGGGAGGAAGGATAATGTGACTTGTAGATACAGAAGCATGATTTTTAAATACCCTCAAGGATGGAAGAGAGCGCTGCCAGCAGACAAAATGGGAAACATCCAAAACATTAGTGCAGCTAAGCCTGAGAACTTGTTAGTCCAACCACACATACACACCTGCCATGTCAAACCAAATAAATATGGTATGAAAATAAATAAGAATACTGACTGAAAAAGCTTTAACCCATCCCTAATCCCTTGCAGAAAATTCATTACTTAAAAATGGGGACAGCTAGGGCAGATTCTTAGATCTTGGGATTAGTATTACTCTGTTTCATGTTACAAAACAATATTTAACTCTACATTTGGATTAAAGAGAATGACTTACCTTTACTGCCCTTTTGGGTGTTTCAGCTAAGATTGGAGGGAGTATACCTTTATAGAAGCCAAATAATCTATTGAGGGAGGAAAGACCAAGAAAAAAAATATTACCTAGGTATATATGACTATTAGTCAAATACTAATTCTGTTTTCTTTTCAGAATGAAACAACTAATCCTAAGTCATTCTTAATTATTACGAACAGCCCTTATTGTCAACAATGAATTTCTGTTTTCATAAGTATTATGTAACAAATACTGCAGTCCTTAAATTACTTATCCTGAGATAATGCCACTGATTTCGACAGGACTAGACTGGAATAAATTCTTTAGAATTATGACCCAAGTCTGTCTTTACACCACTGAAAAAAGAAGTGTTTATGCCAATGAGTAAGCACAAGGATAGCCTATGCTAATAGATAACTTTTTATGAAGATAGGATAGAATTGTATGTAAAAAAACCCCCTAAGAATAATAAAATTAATTAATCCCTAGACAGACGATGCATAATAAAATTTAAGAAATGAATACATTTCTGTGATACCTTAAAAATGAGCACATTCGTTATAGCATATATTTTAGAAGACTATACCATCTACCAGTGGTTTGTCTTTAGACTATCACAGGGCTCTCTATTGTTGCAACCTGTTTCAACAGGTTGACATTGCTGCTTCTCTGGAAATGGCTGTAATGAAAGGAATATGCTAAACGAACAGACCACCTGGAAAATGGGATTTTTGATATATACTTGAAATATGGCTCTTAAAAATTTTCAGTATGTTTCAGTATGCTGAAACAGCTATTTGACGATGTGACTTTAATATCAGATTTGTCTAGTGCAGATTTGTCCAACCTGCAGCCCACAGGCCAAATGCGGCTCAAGATGCCTGTGAAAGCAGCCCAACACTAAACCTAAGTTTACTTAAAACATTATGAGATTTGAGGGGTTTTTTGTAAGCCTCTTGAACACAAATTTTGTAGACAACAATGGAATGGAATAATCAGAGTATGCTACATCTACAAATATATGAGCATTATTCATAATTGCAAACAGTTCAGCCGTAAGACCTGTTTGACAATTTTAAAAGACTTTCCAAATGGGGTGGCACATAATTTGGATTATTATGCAAGTACTTTTTTTTTGCTTATCTGTGGTGGGGGATGACACAAATATTATGCACAGCTTTATAATTTTTTTTTTTTTGCTTATCAGTTATCATTAGTGTTAGCATATTTTATATGTGTCCCAAGGCAATGCTTTTTCTTCCAATGTCACAGGGAATTCCATTGGTTTGGATGCAGGTTTCCCTTTCCCTGAACAACATGTCATTTTATGTTTGAAAAAGAGACTGAGAACCAGAAGAAATTTGCAATGGGAAGGTGGTGGGGTCACCATGTCCCTTTCACTTTCATCAGACAGTGTCTCCCTGCACATTTTCCCAGAAGGTCTCTATTCCTTTTGGAAAAGCTTTTTTGGGAACAAAGAGAAAGTTGAACTCTTCCTCCCCTAAAATCACCTTCTGTAATTTAGCAGGAGTATCATGTGAGTATCTTTTATGGCTGAAAGCAAGGAAGAGCTGAGAAGCCTTATAACCAAGGTGAAAGAAGAAAGTGCAAAGGCTGGGTTGCTGTCAAACATAAAAATAACCATGATTATGGCAGCCAGGCTAATTGATAACTGGGAAATAGAGGGGAAAATGTGGAGGCAGTTACAGACTTTGTATTTTTAGGCGCGAAAATTTCTGCAGACGGAGAGTGCAGCCAGGAAATCAGAAGATGTTTACTTCTTGGGAGGAGAGCAATGACAATCTTGATAAAATAGTTAAGACTAGAGACATCACACTGGCAATGAAGATCCGCATAGTCAAAGCAATGGTATTCGTCGTAGTCACCTACGGATGTGAGAGCTGGACCATAGAGAAACCTGAGTGAAGGAAGATAGATGCTTTTGAATTGTGGTGTTGAAGGAAAATTCTGAGAGTGCCTTGGACCACGAGAAAATAAAACCAGTCCATACTCCAGGGATTAAAACCCGACTGCTCACTGGAGGGAAGGATATTAGAGGTGAAGATGAAGTATTTTGGCCACTTAATGAGGAGACAGGAAAGCTTAGAGAAGACAATTATGCTGGGGGGAAAGGAAGGAAAAAGGAAGAGGGGCTGACCAAGGACAAGATGGATGGATGGTATCCTTGAAATGACTGGCTTGACCTTAAGAAGCTGGGGTTGATGACGGCTGACAGGGAGCTTTGGCGTGGACTGGTCCATGAGGTCACAAAGAGTCGGAAGCGACTGAACAAATGAACAACAACAACAATCTTGTGAGTGCAGATCTGCTTGTTGAAAATCTGGATCTAACCCATACTAGTTTCCTTGTTCAAAAGCCTTGTTTCCAAAAGTTTAATATAATTTAACTTGAAATTTGCCTGTATATCTCAATGGGAATAGCAAATTAATGCATGTGGAAACAGGGAAAAGAAAATGTATATTAGATCGAGTAGCATGTGAAGTGATAAATAAGGCAAATCACATGCAATATGAAGAATATGCTTAGAATATAACTGTTTTGTACAATGGAGGTATCTTTGTTAGATGGCAGCAAAAACAATCAAAGCATGTTAAAGACTAATATGTTTTATTTGGCATAAATATTTGTGGATTGCTTCCCACTTCATCAAATACATGGAGTGTAGCCTTTTAGTTGGTAGAGATTTATATGTCTGCTGAAGATGTTAGAGCTGGAGGGGAGAATAGGAAAAGCAAAAAGTACCAGCAAACAATGTTAACAGTGGTTCTTTAACAGCCATTGCAAAATGACTACACCCAGGAGATATGGTCTTACAAATATTTCTGCAGAGGCATTTTGGGATAGCTGCCTTTGGCAATGGATTTTGGTCTTCTAAAAAGATTCTGATTTTCAGAATGTATTTTTTTGAATGAATGCATTTCAGAAGATTACCAGGAAAAAATCTCAATTTCATATTATATTGTTAAAGCATAGTATGTATTATTGATCAACATTTCATTGTTAAGATTTGTGCTAAAGTGGATAATAGAGAAGCTTCCCATCAACAAAGCAAGAACAGAATCTGTTATTCATAAACAGTTGATGATAGAGCAAGGAAGCAATTTGCATCTAAACATGTGACTGACAAAGGATTGCATTCCTTCCTATGATTATGTTTAAAATTGTTGTTATTAGATGGTCAATATTTTACTGGCCAGAGATTGGGTGGGAAGGCATCATTCATACAGTTGGGTTTTTGGCTCCTTTCTCCATAGTTCTATTTTAAGAATTGATGTTTACTTTTCTGCGCAGTATCTATCTTGGGGTGGTCTTTTTTCATCTAAGCTGCTCAATGATATAGGCACTTCCTGATTTGGATCCCCTACCACTTTTTAAATATCCATTTGGTTCAGATTTAGTTGATTTGGATGTCATGAAAGCAGATTTTACTGACAATGAATGCATACTCAAGAACACACACATATTTTAAGCTTAAAGGAGATTCATTCAGGTATGCTAGAGTAAGGGATTGTTTGTGACTGGTTGAAGTGGAAGTGAAAGAAGGCTATGCAATGAGGGATAATAGTAGGGATAATGGTCACTAGTACTCAGCTCCATAATGGAAGAAGGTTCCCGCTCTGTCTGTAAACCAAATTGCAGACATTCAGTGCCTTAGACAAATATAGACTTCTCTATAGTGTACACTCATACTTATTAGAATCTATACTATAGTGTATAATTCAAAGTGTTTTGGCATTGCTACTTTATGCAGACCCAGGCACTTGACCAAGGTGTCACTAGGGACCTCATCACATTGAGGTCTAACTTGTGGGCGATGGCATGGGGGAATTGCCATGGATTGTGGCAAATCCACCATGGGGTGTAGGAAATCTATTGCCCCACACCACCCCTGTGCTGGCAGGACTGAAGACCGACAGGTTGCAGGTTCGAATCCGGAGAAAGGCGGATGAGCGCCCTCTATCAGCTCCAGCTCCTCATGCGGGGACATGAGAGAAGCCTCCCACAAGGTTGATAAAGACATCAAATCATCCGGGCGTCCCCTGGGCAACATCCTTGCAGACAGCCAATTCTCTCACACCAGAAGCGACTTGCAATTTCTCAAGTCGTTCCTGACACGACCAACCCTCCCCCCCCCCCCCATATTGTCCCTATCTCATCCTATGGGGTTCCCTCCATTCTTCTCTATAGAACACGGGAAGCTTTTTGTAACAGTTTGTCTTCACTTCAGGCATGGAGCCCTGCCAGAAGTAGATTTATGTTGTGTGATGGAATCTGATGGGCTCCGTGTGTGAAGTGAGGTCAAACTGTTGTAGGATGGGCAATTTTGCCCATGTGATGTGGTGTGCCATCTAATGATATCAAAATGTAATACGGTTTTGGACACAGTCTGTCAATTATTTTGGGTATTTCCTGAACAAGCAGTGTGGATATTTTTACTTTTGTTTTGGTTTTGCTATAGAATGAACATTTGTACATTCACTCTTTACTAGGGTCCATCTACACTGTAGAATTAATGCATTTTAATTACCATAGCTCCATGTTATGGAATTTGAGAGTTGTAGCTTTATAAGGTTTTCAATCTTCACTCATAAAAAATACAGGTACTCCACTAACCTTATAAACTCCATAATCTCATAGAACTGAGTCATAGAAGTTAAAGTGGTGTCAAACTTCAGTAATTCCACAATATGGGGTGCACCTTTGTAAATAACCCAAACTGCTGCCTGCCTTCTGGACTACAAGAACTACAAAAGCTTCTGTTGAGCTAGCCTTACTTACAAACTGGGTGTGGCTCCCTGCAGCTATTGTGGCTCCCACTTGAGAACAGCTGCTGTTAGCGATGGGCCATTACGCCCTTTAAGAGCCTTAATCTGACCAGACTACCTACTAAGAAGCTGAATCACATTGAGTGTGTGTACCTGAGTCTAAAAAACAGATACAGAATGGGGATTGTGTTAGTGTACCATCCACCCTGCTGCCTAACAGATTCCCTGGTCGAGCTCACAGAATTGGTCTTGGAGGTGTTACTGGAGTCACCCAGACTTCTGC